GAGGAGTCTTGGGAGGAGTCTTCTGGTGTCTAATACCTTGATACATGCAGTATTCGTCAAATGGTCCACAATATTCCCACCATTATCAGTACGAATACATTTCACTTTCTTTCCAGTTTCTCTTTAAACTGAAGCCTGAAACTGCTTAAAGACACCTAGCACTTGGTCTTTAGTCTTCAAGACATAGACCCAAAGTTTTCTCGAGCAATCATCAATGAAAGTGACAAAGTAAAGTGCACCACCCAATGTCTTTGTCTTCATTGGACCACATAAATCAAAGTGCACTAACTCAAGCAGCTCTGTCTTTCTTGAAGGAGGGTAGGACTTAAAGGAAACTCTATTTTGTTTACCAGCCAAACAGTGCTCACATTTTTCTAATTTAGCAGTTTAGAAATTTGACAATAATTTCTTCTTGGCTAGAACATTAGGTCCTTTCTCGCTAATGTGGCTAAGACTCTTGTGCCATAATGTTGAAGAGTTATCGCTCTGAACCGCATTCACCATATCAACACAAGAAGAGGCCGTAGTCCAATATAGACCACAACGTTTGTTACCACGAGCCACAACCAAGGAACCCTTAATGAGCTTCCATTTTCCATCACCGTTGGTGATAACATATCCTTCATCATCTAAAACACCAACAGAAATTAGGTGCAGACGAACATCAGGAGCATGTTTCACATTGTTCAAAACTAGTTTAGTTTTAACACTAGTTTCCAAACAAATTGTACCAATACCAACCACCCTAGAAACAGTCTCATTACCCATACTCAAGGTTCCAAAATCACCAGGAGTGTAGGAAGAGAAAAAATCCTTCCTTGATGTCACATGAGATGCGGCACCAGTGTCCATAACCCAACTTGACTCATCACAAGCAATATTTATCATGTTTGCATCAAGAACGGTAACAAGATCTTCGGTGGTGACGGTGGCTAGGCAGTTTTCATTGCCATCTTCTTTAGTTTCCTCTTTGTTTTGTTCTCCCTCTTCAACTTCCTGCAGAACTTCTTTGTGTGTCCTTTCATGCCACAATGATAGCACTCAATATCGTCAAGTCTGCCATTGGATTTGCTCCTATTTTGTTCTCTATGCTGAGAACCACGAGTTTTATTTCTCCCCCTGGGGCCAGTTATCAGGACATCCGACGGAGAGGAACCATGAGTTTTTCTTTTCATCTCTTCGTTCAAGACACTACTCTTGGCGGAATCCATAGTGATTACAGCATCCAGAGCAGAACTTGATAATGACGTTCTAAATGTTTCCCAAGAATCTGGTAGGGAACCAAGAAGAAGCAAGCCTTGAATTTCTTCATCAAATTTGATGCCCATAGCAGATAATTGGTTCATAATCCCCTGAAAATTATTTAGATGGTCTGTCATCGGAGAACCATCATGATACTTCAAAACTCAACATCTGTTTTATTAAGAACATTTTGTTATTGTCAGTCTTTCGAGCATACAAACTTTCAATATGCTCCGAAAGGGTTTGAGCATGTGTTTCTCTAGAGATATGGTTCAACACATTATCGTCGACCCATTGCATAATGAATCCACAAACCTGTCTATGCAACAGACTCCACTCTTCATCTGTCATATTATCAGGCTTTACATTGGTAAATACTGGTTTATAAAAATTCTTAACATAATGCAGATCTTCCATTTTCCCCTTCCAAATGGCATAATTAACACCATTTAAAGTAACCATTCTACTTGTGTTGGCTTCCATTGTTTTCCCAAAAAAATAGTTATCGCAAATCAAAGTAAATCTTTTCTGATGTGGAAGTTCAGACTGTGCTACAACCACAGAGCATACTCAGATAAAACCTTGGCTCCGATACCAGTTTGTTGGGAAAATGCGGACAAGCACAAAAGTATATATGGTAAAAGTAATGAAATAAAATGAGAAAATAACGACACCAAAAATTTTACGTGGAAACCCTTCTGAATAAGAGAAAAAACCACGGGCCAAGAGGAGCAACTGATATTAATATAGTAAGGAATTTTACACTGTGTAGTCACGAATACAACACTCAATGTGACTACTACACACTCAAAAGGAACAACACTCTTTTGGTTTCCGTCTTACTAAAATATCGCTCACACTCTATTTTTCTTCACAGACTATTTTCTTATATAGTGTATGGAATATCTCACTTTGCTCTCAAAATTGTTTTTCTCTCTAACTTGGTGTGTTCTACAAATGAGCAAGAATTCTCTATTTATAGAAGGATAAAACCATACCTATGTCACTAATGACATATGTAAACATAGCAAAGTCAAAAATGGTTGCAAATCTTACCAATTTGCCAACTACCAAATCTTAGTCGTCGGTTTTACCACCAGAATGCCTATGAGATAGTGGTAGTGGTCGGCCTTTCGAATGTCTTCTTCGTTACTTTTCTGAGAAGCCCCTTACGACTATACTATAAAGGACAGGGGTCTGTCTGTACAAACGATCTAGGCCTGTATTTGGAGTTTCCCTGGGGTTGGTAAGGCGAAATGAGGCCACCCTAGCCCATTGAGTGCTCTACCTCGGGCCACGACACAATCAAACCCGAACGAACAAAATGTTGAATTTCATCGTACCAGTCTCATTAGACTATTTTAACCGATTGTTTATGTCGACCCTACGCTACGATTCTTCTTCTCTTATGAAATTTCTAGTTAGTTGAAATTGAATACCCGAATCGAATCAGAGTTCACGCCGCCCGCCTTGAACAAATAGGAGGCATGGGCCACAGGTCGCACATAAGCCGCCGGGTCGCACGACAGAAGAACACCCAATTTTCTTTTCAACCCCAATTACTATTCATTTTTAACAATTGCTTCTACCAATTGAATAGCTAAAGTTGACTAAAACAATGGGATGGATTCAACAAATTATACTTTAGTTTTATCATATCAAGTCAGTATTTTAACATGCTTGAAAATTTTATAAAATACTACTATATTGTAAAATCTGTTAGCATATTTGCCATGATTATTTTACCATATTTTAAGTTTTTTTTTTCTTAAAAGAAAGTCAAAATATTACTATAAATGTTAGAACTTTTCCTAAAAGTAAAATATAATTATTTTTCTATATTTGATTTATTCTTTTCTTAAAGAAAAAGGTTTGGAAACTTATAAATTGAAGATTCATATTCTCATAACATAACACAATAGAGTCCACAATTTAGTCGTTTAGAATTTTGGTTATGGGGATATTTTTTCTCTTCAATGTTAATGTTTTTATTCGTTTTCAATATGTAGGTTTAGTTGGCCAAATTCCATATAATAATATTTTTGATTTTTTAGTATAGGTTTTTGTCATCTAATTTAACAAACATATGATATGCAATCATAACCTTCCGCATGACGCTCTAATCACTTCGAAGCCAACAATCACATAGTTGAATGATCCATTTGAGCAAGGTTGAAGACAGGTTTAATGGGATTTCAAATTAATTTCGAACAAATTTGAATTATAATGAAGATTTTTGTCTAGCTACATGTAGAGAAGAATTGATATCATATTTTCAACATTCATATTGCTACATTTTTTAAATAAAATAAAATAAAACTATTTTTAACCCATATATTTTAAAATTTATTTAATTCTGACAAGTTGTATTAATGAATATTATATGAAGAACAAAGATTATCATGCAGTTGAAAAAAGTGATCAAGTTTTATCAAAATAATCCAATCAATATGGAAAATTTGTTAGTGTTTTGACATGATTTTATTATCATATTTTAAGTTTTATTTTGTCCTTAAAGGAAAGTCAAAATATTACCAATAAATGTTTGAACTTTTCGAGAAAGAAAAATATTTTTTTTTCATATTTGATTTAAGAATTTAGAGATCTACAAATTGAAGATACATATTTTCATAACACAACACAATAAAATTTACAATGTAATTATCTAGAGGGTTTTGTTTATGAAAAGATTTTCTTCCTACAATTTCAATATTTTTATTAGTTTGTAATATGTAGGCCAGTTGGTCAAATGTCATATAATAGTATTTTGATTTTTTAATATAAATTTTTATGTGGTTTATCAAACATATAATATGCAATAGTAAACTTATGACGCTCTAATCACTTTCGAACCCAACAAAATCCAAAGGTAACATATGTTGGAGCCTTTTCAAGTGTATTTTTTTCCAATTTTAAATTATCATATTTATTGAATAGTATTTAATTATCCAAAATGTCACTTATTAATTTATATGCTTAGTTTGCTCGCATATCTCATCAACGATCGATTATTCCAGCTCCTCAATTGAAACGATCAACAACCAAAGTATTTCTTTTATATTAGAAAAATCCTGAGCATGCCTTGCTCAAAGTCCAGCTCTGTACATCTAATTATTTTATTAAAAGTCTATTAAGATGATGTTCACTTTTTTAATTTTATAAATCTAAATATATTTATATTATCCTCAAGAAGAGAAAAGATATTATTAAAATAACAATTAAAAGGTCAGCCTAATATTAAAGCATATTGCAGTAAAGTCAAATATCTAAAAACTTATATCAAATAACTTTGACATGCGAATGTAAAATTAATGGAGGAAAATCCGAATCTAAAATTTATTTTAGATAGAAATGTCTTTTTTTCTTTTTGTGAATAAAAATTGAGAAAAAAGTTGCCCCATCGTCTCTCGATTGAAACTGGATTGCACCATTTTAAGTTAGATTATTGGGTATATAAAATGGTTTTACCCTTAGTCTCTGCATATAAATTCTGAATTCTTGTTCATATTTTCTTACAAAATTTTCTTTTACTTCATTTAAAATTTTGGTTAATTAGAGAACAAATACTGGTGAAAACGTGAGGTGTGAGTGGATTGAGCGGTGAGTCGTGAGCAGCACACTTTGAGAGTGACATCAATAATTAATATGTGGGTGTCACGTATTTTGCATATAAAAAAATAAAAATAAAAATTTGAATAATGTCGAGTCGCCTCACTCCATTCGTTATATATATATATATATATATATATATATATATATATATCATAATAGTGTAGATTAATATGTGTATCAAATTGGGTGTAAGCATCTTTATTGTTGATAAATAAATAGTTTTAGAGACAAAAGGATAGTACTAGTTGGAGATAATTGTTGTTGGAAATGAGGTGATATTAATAATTAATGTTTGTCAGAAGCTGAAGTTGTCGTCTACTTATGGATTCTCCTGCCAACAGTTCACATCTGCGGAAATCAGGAAGCCGACTAGTTGTTTATGATATTGGTATTGAAAATATACTTATATAATATAGGTTAATTATGCTATTAATCTATCTATCTATCAGGTATACTTGAAGATGCTGCTGCTAGTGTTTTTGAAGAAGATACCACAGACGCCAAGGCCACTACAACCATAATTCCATCTCCTCTTGTAAAATTTAATCTTCATGTGTTACTGTTTATCATTTGGGGTGTTACCTGTTGCAAGGTCAGTGAAACCGACGACTTTTTCCACAATTATTCACATCTCCTGTCAATACATAATTATCTAATTTGCAGATCAGCTGGGATTCAGTCAAGAGAATGAGTTTAAACCTCCGTGATCTTTTTCTGTATGAGGCTTTTCTTTATTACAATCCTTTGCTACTTGTGGTTAGTTGGTTATCTTCACACTTTGTGCAGCATCATTTTGTTTCCTCTTAATTAATTACTACCTGGTATTTACTTGTTATTTTGGTGCTGCAGACCATAATGGTTTGGCTTTGGGGCATCAACCTATGGGTTTTTGCACAGGCTGATGTTAACTTTCCTAAAATTTTTGACCTCGATCAAAATCATCTCTCTCACACACAGATTTGGAAGGTACTGTATACATGATTATTCTTATGTATGCCATAAGTATGTATATATGTGAGGCAAACACGGTTGATTGGTGCTGTCATTTGGGTGTAACTGTTTTCTAACTGTGCTATACATGGTGCTCTTTAATTTGATAACTGTTTTAATTCCGTTTCATTGTTAAATTGAATGTGCAGTTTCTTGTATCCTGGCATGATAAGCTTTTCCATTAAGGCTAAAGTTTAATTTTAGATAATAGAATTCTCTTACCCATAATTATATGACACTTTTTTCACTGCAAAATATTCTACTAAAATATCACAAGTTCTTTGATTACAAACCTACCAAACTGATCAAATTTCTTTCCAATCAACTTGTTATGTACCTATGTTCAATATTTCTATCACTGCTAATTGTTTATTATATAGGTCAAAACTACTATCTTAAACTCCTTTTCCAGACAAATCATGTTTGTTTTAGTATCATCATATGTAGATGCTTAGATACCTAGTGAAAACAGAAAAAAGAATAAATAAGAGAGAATTTCTTTTTCAGTTGATTAACAACACATAAAAGAGCTTTTTGTAGAGAAGGAATATTCAACATAAAATTCTATTAGATACTCTATGGTATTTTAACTTAATTAAGATGTTACATATTTGTGAATCTGTACACATTACAATATATAACTGCATCAAGTGACTTAACTTCAATAGGAATTACTAGTTGTTAAACTTGTTTTTTCATATATATTGTGTACTATACATATATTTGAAGATACAGAATAAAAATTTATCCAAATTCTGTTTATATTGCAGTGTGCTACCTGGATGACCATCATCGTGCCAACTAGCATGACAGCCTATCTTTATCTCTATTCAAATGGAGAAGTTTCGTTGGCTGCATCTCAACCAGTGTAATAGATGCTTCCTTCACCAATTGAATGATACTTATTTGCTTATCCTAATCTAACTTTATGTATTTGAACTAGTCATACTAAATTTTAAAGAAAAGAAGCTTTGGTAAATTTATAACATGGGACAACTTTGGCTTCTGCTTACTCATACAAAATGCTAATGTGTTAGTGACTCACTCGCATTAAATGTTTAAATTAATTTATCCTATTAAGAATACAAGGTTCTAATTGTCCTATGTTCTATAAATATGCTTTGTTAATGAATTAATTTATGCAATTGCAGGTGCTCCTATATGCTGCTTTCGCCATGGCTCTGCTTTGTCCCTTTCATATTTTCTATTTATCATCTCGCTACTTTTTGTTAAGAACACTTTGGAGGATAGTTTTCCCGCTGCAGGCAAGTTTGCGTTACTTGAATGTTTGTGTATTATAACAAGAAGCGTGCTGATCTTGTAAATCAAAAAATATTTTAAACTCTCCCAGTGGTAAAATAATTGACATTTCTTTGTTTGTCTTAAAAGTGACACAATCTACCTATTTATTTGCTTGCTTCAGACTGTAAACTCTTTTCGGTTTACTTTAGGAAAAATTCTGGAATTCTTTTGGTTGTCTAATACTCACTTCACAAAGGACCAAAGTATATTCTTTTCTCGGAGTATATATCTTAATCATAGTTTACAATTCCATGAAACATGAGTTTTACAAGACTAATAAAATAAAATATGATTCATTATGTGAATCGATCAGATATAAAATTCTAATTTGATTCTTGCAGGCAATAGCTTTTGCTGACTTCTTCCTGGCTGATATATTAACATCTATGTCAAAGGTACACAACCTCTTCTTTCCTTTTGACAGAAAAACTTGTGCCCTTGGCATTTGGTAATGCTAACGCTATTCATAATGCACAGGTATTTTCTGATTTGGAGCGTTCAGTATGTAGAATGGTTCATCGACAGGTTAGTTATAACTTTCTTTTTCAGAGATTATTGACAGACAATTATTTTAATGCTACTTAGCTTGGATGTGCATATGTTACTCCATTTCAAAATATCAGCACTAACACTAAGTCTCTGTTGTGCCTGCTGGTACTCAGATATGAGACCAAATCAGAGACCTTCTTTCATAGTTATCATGTTTGGTACTCAGATCCAAGCTTTATATGTTTTACACCACATTCATATTAATAATTGGTTTATCGCAAGTCAAAGTTGTAAACAAAAACTAATCTTTTACTTTGTTATCCCAATCCCTCTACAAGAATCCATGGATTGCACAACAACCATGTATTGTTCATCTCACAACACTCATTTCACACTTTGACAAAACAATTTTTGTATTATTTTACACCTCCCATATTATAAATCATGCAAAACTAGACATTATAAACTCAACGACCCTTTAATATGTATGTAGATTGTACAGAGACTGACTGAGAAATACCCTTTGTAGGAGGTATCCTACTTTTTTTCCCAGGGTAAGTTTCTTTCTGCATAATTATAATTTAGTGCCCTGGAAAGAGGAAGTTCAGTCCCAAAGCACAATAAGAATTGTTGTTCATATTATATTCCTAAGATACTTAGAATAAAATTTTGAAGAACTTGGTAAGAAACAACAAAGTTTAAAGAGTATTTTCAAATTAGAAAATTAAAACTACTAGAAAAAAATAGAATCAGAAACGAATTAGAAACAATATAAAAATAGTTTTCTCAAAGAAAGAAAATTGAATCCACTGAACGCACAGTGCCTAATTAAGAAAATTATTCCCCTCAAGTACCCTAGGCTAATGGAATATATCCTCCCAATATAAAACGATCGTATTCATTGGTGTATCGGGTGTGCCTAAAACCTCGGTGTCAGCGAACCACTCAATGGCAGTAAAGTATGCTGAGAATACTAGATTTAGTAATAGTAGCAGTAGTCCAGAGTGTACAACTAAAATGAGAGGAAATCACATAATTTATAGAAAACAAAGGATAGTGTGGAAATGTTCTTATTGTACCTTACCGGAAACGTCACAAACCTTTGCAAAAGTCACAATCTTTTGAAAAGGTGAAAACCTTTTATAAAAATCACAACGCTTCATAAAAATTACACCTCTCATTTTCCATCAACACATTTTAAAACCCATAGGGAAAGCGTATAGGTTCTTTTTCTCTTTTCCTTTCTGGATGATTTAGTAGTAAGAGTAACTTGCATATGATTTTCACTAAAAATGAAATGGTATCTTTGTGATGGTATAATTTAATTTTTCAAATGTGAGAAAATGTTATAGATAAGGTGACCAACTCTCTTTGCATGTAGCCTAGAGATAAATGGTACTATATTGTACACTGATGAAAATGTTAAGATTTCTGAGTCCACCATGGATTATTAACATCTGCCTTCCTAAATCCAATTAATAATTGCTAGTGAAATATATCATAAAGTTTTTTCCCGATTGAATTCATAGTATATTGTGAAAGGATCAAATTGTTGGCATTAATTAATTGAATTATCTGAAAAAGATGAATAATGATGCATATGCAGGTTGCTACGATTGCATGGTTTGAAGGTGATTCTGTTTGTGGCAGTCACTCAGTTGCCATTCCTATAGTTCTTGTATTGCCTTATCTATTTCGTCTATTTCAATGTCTACGGCAATACAAGGATACTAGAGATAAGACTAGCCTGTTCAATGGTAAATTTCCAATTCTTTTGAGTTTGAGATACATAAAGTTACTAGTTTCAGAAAATGGATGATGTATCATTATTTTTAATTGCATGTGGGTTGTATTTAAACTAGAATATTTTATTTCAGCTTTAAAATATTCAACAGCAGTACCAGTGATATTTGTGTCAGCCCTTCAGTATCACGTATTCCCTGACAAGTGGGTTAACCTTTATAGACCTTTGTGGCTTGTCTCAGCCGTTGTGAACTGTCTCTATTCATTTTATTGGGATCTGACAAGAGATTGGGACTTAAGGTGAGTGAATTAAGTTTTACCTCAATGCAAAGGTTACAGCTATTTAATAATTATGTTGATAATAATAATAATAGAGTAATTAGTTGTTTCCTTTGGTGTTTTAGTTGTTTCACTGTGGTTTTCAAGTTCAACAAACCACATATTTTATCACATTACTTATACGGACGCAAATGGGTAAGTAAGCCTATCCATAATTTACTTTAATTGTTTTTAGAGCCCAAATTAAATTATCCATAGTGTAGGTGTACTTTTGGGTAATCGGAAGCAACCTAATATTGCGATGCACGTGGACATACAAGTTGTCTGCCCATCTCCGACACAATTACCTCACAGTATTCACAATAACTGCTCTTGAGATGTTCCGTCGTTTCCAGTGGGTTTTCTTCCGTGTAGAAAATGAGTGGAACAAGATAAGCAACAACAAATCATCAAATACTCAACTCTACTTGGGTGATCAACAAGATAAAGAAGAAGAATTCCTCATCAACTCCAATGGTCACAATGTATAGCCAACCATATATCCATTCCATATTTGCAAACAATAATATCTTACTTGTCAATACTATATACAAGGGTACATAGAGCTAACATACTACACAATTAGGTAGGATATGATATGATACATTGACAAGTTTTATTTAATGCGTGCTTAAGTTTTTCTTTGTCTTGTAGGGCTTTCTATTCTATGCTTCTTTTTGGAAGCTATTTCATTTATTTTCATAAATAAATTCTATTATTTTCAGCACTCGGAGATTAATGATATATGATTACAGTTATTATTTGTATTTGTTACTAGTCAATAATATAGGATGCCATACAAGGTTGAAAGACATAACTAGCTACTCCATCATTAAATAAAATTTTCAGCATTCATTCTTTTGGGGATATTAATTAAATATGAAAATATTTCTTTCTCTTCAAGATTGTTATGAAATTGTATACGAATAATTATGTGGATAAGATAGCTTATTCATTTCAACACTAAACAAATAATGAAGAAATTATTCTAAGAAGGATAAAACGTGAACTTAATCTTTTGAATGTGAAAAAAATAAGAATTTTAAGAAAAAATAACTTTCTCTGCAGAATAACAGCTATAATTTTAAAATGTCGAATTTGAATAGAACTATTGGTAGCGAAGGATACAACACTCTTCATTAGTAGAAATCATTTCATTTAAAATATTAATTCAACAATTTACTATGTTTAAATACAAATTAGAGAAAAGAGTTAAAAACACATGTAAACTATCTTTGTAAATATCTAAACATAGAGAGTGTGAACTTCATAATTAAAATAGCACTTATTATTCCCTGAGTCCATTTTTATTTGTCCACTTTTAATTTGGCGCACCAATTAAGAAAATAATTAATGACGTATTATACCTCTATTAGTTATGTAGTGGATAAAAAGTTTTTATATTTTTCAAAATAATTAGTCATTTAACTGGGAGTATAATAAGTGAAAAAAATTTCCTTCACTTGATTTGTCAAAAATGGACAATTATTAGCTATAACTGTAAAAGAAAAAATGAACAAGTAAAAATGGACAGATGAAAAACAAATCTCTCTTTTTTTTACACTCTGGTCATAATGTGTATAGTACACTCTCTTTTATTTAAAAAAAATTGACACATCACATTTCAAATGCACAAAATATTCTATCTTGAAAAAAATTAAATAAATTACTAGTAATAAATAAAGTTATGGACAAAACTATTACTTATAAATAAAATGTAAAATATTTGGATCATCCGATTCCACCACTTCCTATCACCGTACTTCCGCCATATCTTTTAAGGTTTTCTTTTAAAAATATTCTTTTTATAATTTTTTACAAAGAAGTTCTTACATCTCCCTCCCCCCCCCCCTCTCTCCCCTCTCTCCACCCTTCAAATAATAATTAAGATATTATTGTAATTTTTTTAAAAAAATAAAACTACGCCAACCCTACGTAAGCCTCTCCTTACAAATTTTTTC